ATAGCTAGATATGAGAACCTTTATCTTGTCTTGCATTCAGTTAAGCTTTTTCTATGAAATACCATCATTTACTAAAGTAATGAAATAAAATAGTAACAAGCCTTACATTATTTGCTATAAACAAGCAGACAGAACATAGAATAAAGTTAAACATATATCTGTATTTAAGTTAATTACGTCTTTTGCAGTGAATGTGAAATGATTTCTTTCACTATTTCATCCAACTCTAGCTTTCCTTAAAAATTAAAGAAGAGTTGGGGCGCCTGGGTGGCTCAGTCAATTGGGCATCTGACTTTGGCTCAGGTCATGATCTCACGGTTCGTGAATTTGAGCCTGGCATCGGGCTCTGTGCTGACAGCTCAGAGCCTGGTACTTGCTTCAGATTCTGTGTCTCCCCCTCTCTTTGCCCCTCCCTTGCTTGCACTCAGTCTCTCTCTATCTCTCTCAAAAATAAATAAACATTAACAAAAAATTTTAAAAAATTAATGAAGAGCAGTTAACTTTTTCTTACTCTACAGGCATCAACAATTCCAGAGACCTGGAATGTAGTAAAATTTCTTGAGTGCTCATGAATTTTGCCCACTCATATGAGTGAGATTTCACAGCAACTTAATGATACTTCATGGCCTTCTTAGACTTACCCAAAAGATGATTTTGATTGGTTCAACTGGCACTCCTATTTAGCTCTAGCATATTCTTTTTACCCCATTTGAGCAAAAGGACAAGAAACTGCCCCTCCCCCTTTTCATGCATATAGCATTATTTGTCTGCTTCCTTTCATTTTAGAACAAAACTGGAAAGTCAAAAAACAAAAGCAAAACAAACACAAAAAAACATAAAATCCTAACTGTTCAAGCATGTCCCTAAATCACAGGGGACATGTTTTTTTGTTTTGTTTTCTTTTGATTTTATCTATTTTTTTTATCTATTATCTTTTTTTTTATCGCAATCAGCAGATTTTTATTCCTGATGCCCAAGGTACCATATCACTTACTCTAATTAAGAGCTTAGGCATTTCATATGCTCTGTTTCAATAATTAAGATTATAAAACAACCAGCCTTGGAGATTCATAACACATATTTAAGCTTGATTCTTAACGGAGCTCTGCATTTTTCTCCTCTCTGGTCACTGTCAAATTCAAATGAACAGAAGTACAGAATTGACAATTTCTTCTGTTATCTCATTCCGTGGTAGGACCTCACCTGATATGCCTAATTTTCTTATTTCCTTCATTGAATAGAAAGAGTGGCGCAGAAAATATGAATGGCACTTTTTAAAGGTTAAATGATATCCATACAGAATTATAAGTCACAAGTAGGTGTTTGTGATGTGACTGAGACTATTTCAAGAAATGACTTTGACTTTAACATTCTATCTATTGCTAAAAAAGAAGAAAAAAATTTTTGGCTCTTCAGTTGTAGAAAAACAATTACATATGAACCACTGTTACCTCTTAAGAAAACATTTTTCTATCACAAATCAACAGCATGAAAGCAACAGCATTATCATTATTTTAGCCAAATGCACTTTTCAAAATCTAAAGTTTACATTGCTTTTTTAAAATGATAATGAACTGGTTCTTCAGCCCAATACGAAACCTTCTTCAAATGGCCTATAGCTTTAGAAATGCTTTAAAACATCAATATTCTCTTCATAAGTCTGATCCTTAAAAACTGAAAACTGGAAAGTCATAGAAAACATCACGATGGTTAAATTTTAGGAAAAAAGAAAAAATTAGGGTAAGCACATTATAGTACAAATCCAACATGATTTTTTGAATCCTTATGTTCTATATGCACACTTCTTTTTGAAAGCTAAAAGATACAGTATTTTGATTAGAAATAATGTTTAAGGCAGATATTTATCCTTCCTACAAGGGAGATGTTATAAAAATAAGAAAGAAAAATATTCATGAGTTCAGTCTAGCACTGAACCAAACCCACCACTTGGTCTCAAAATTTAAGAGATATTTAACATTAAAATATCCTTGTGTTTGCTTTATCTCATTTGTTGCATTATTCTTTTTTTAAAAGTGTTAATCACCAGAGTCCAGAATCTCTTTCCTAGCCCTTTAGAACTCTGACATGTATGACCACTTAAGCAACTTATGAATGCAGGACACGTTATTTGTCTTCATATGACCAGTCTTCTTTTCTTCCACATGACCGATCTTTTTGTGGTGGCAAAATTGGGAATTAGGTTATTTTTCTTTTGTATTTTAAGTTTCATCCTCTAACTAGCTTTGTTCTGGATGCCTAGAAACCATCATGTTGCCCCCAAACCCCATCTGTTTTTCTGATCTTTCCAGGGAAGCCTGCTCCCCAACCCCACCCCAGAGCATGCCCAGTGCCGATGGAGAGTGGGAAAATTTTGCTGTCCTGGAAATATGAGTCTCTTTATTCTACTCTTATTCAAGATAAACTTTGAGTGCCCTACTGTTTCTCAGTATATACTTGCCTTTTTGGGGGAATAATTTCCAGACCTGGCACATTCCTAACTCTCTGGAGACCAAGCATTCTGGTTTGTCCAGGACCATCCCAACATAATTAAGGCCCAACATAATTGTTAATGCTGCCCCTTATACTTTCAGAAATGTCCCTGTTTGGACAATAATTTAGATGGCCACCTTAGCTATAGATCTGTACTTATCTTCAACTTTTACAAAAGAGCAAGTGGCTTGACACCTGAAAAGAGAACACTGGTTTTAGTGATTGGAATATTTTACTGGTCTTTGAGAAAGCCTTTATCTGGGGATTTGTGGGACTTGAAACAAAATGAATTGAAGAGTGTGAAACTGAATAAAGGAAACCTTATTTTAAACGGAGACGGGAGGCCAAAAGGGAGCGCCTTCATGCACTGCTACTCCTTGCAGCCCTGGGCAGAATGAATAGAAAGGAGCCTACACTTTACCTAACTGAAGCAGGGGGAAGAAAGGTTTTCTCCTCCCCTGTTAATAGTCCAGCCAATGAGAGACTGCCATAACTCAGCCAATGAGAAGCCATTACACTTTTTTTTTTTTAATTTATTTTGCTACTACACTTTGAACTCCCGGTTTACTCCAATGGACTTTTTGTGTATAACAGCCGTCCCCGCCCCCTACCCCTCTCTAACCTTCATCTATAAAAGAGTGTTCCTCTCCTTTCTTCTCTAGACTTGCCTGTGGTTTTGCTTCAGCTTACATGTGTGGAATTGCAATTACCCGCTATTTTTGAACAAACCCATTTTTCTGGTAAAATAACTGTGGCAGTTTTATTCTTAAAGTTGACACGAGAGATTTGAGGAGAGGACCATAACTGGAAGGGAAGGTAAAATCTTTCACAATGAATCAAAGCAATTCAGACTCGACATTTCCAAAATAAACCTCATCATTTCCTATTCATCCTACCAGCAGCTCAAAAAACAGTTTTCTTTGTCAAATCTCTTATGTCTTTGCCACCCTCCCACCCAATGTCTACCTACACTATGCTTAGAATCTACAGCATCGTTTTTTGGGTTTTTTTCCTCACAGACAGTTACTCTTTCATTACTGTGTGTTCCAACTCTGTCACTAGATCTGAATCAAAGAATCTCATTGGTTTTGCCTGTGTTTGGATTATTGCCACAACCTTCTAACCAACTACTTTCTTCTCCCTTTTCATTGATGTTCCACTGTTGATGGACTACTATTTCCTAGAGAAATATTTATCCTGTCCCAGACTACTTTAAAACTTCTGTCTGCTTTCTACTGCCAATAAGGTAGCGATCAAACTGCTTAACAGGGCATGGGAGATCTTTCAAAATCTAATACCAATACATTTTCCATTGTAGTCCGTGCCCTTTGTTCATCAAACTGAAACTCTGGCCGTGCTAAAGTCTGTTAGTTCCTAAAGATACAGGTCCTTTCTTCTCTCTGTTTCTCTGCTCTTTCCTTTGCTAGAATGTCCTCTTCCTTCTCATCCCACCCCACCACCTTCCATGCTTTGTAAATGTCCATATAGCCTTCAAGAGCCAACTCAAAAACGCCATCTTCTATCCAAAGCTTTTTCCAACTGGTTTTTAAGCAGAAGTTTGTATTACCTTCCTTTTGTCCCATTGCACTTTTAAAAATGTATTCAGGGGCGCCTGGGTGGCGCAGTCAGTTAAGCGTCCGACTTCAGCCAGGTCACGATCTCGCAGTCCATGAGTTCGAGCCCCGCGTCAGGCTCTGGGCTGATGGCTCAGAGCCTGGAGCCTGTTTCCAATTCTGTGTCTCCCTCTCTTTCTGACCCTCCCCCGTTCATGCTCTGTCTGTCTCTGTCCCAAAAATAAATAAACGTTGAAAAAAAATTTTTTTTAAATAAATAAAAAAAATAAAAAAATAATAATAATAATAAAAATGTATTCATTCCACCACTTACAGTGTAGGCCCAACTGGTAAGTGACTATCTAACTTTCAATTGTCAAACGTTTCAGGGCAGTGCCCAAGCTTTATGTCTTTATATTAAGAAAACTTAACAAAGTCTAGAACATAATTAGCACTCAGTCTGTATTTGTTGATAAAGATGAAGACTTGTCTGGGGCACCTTGCTGACTTAGTCAGCTGAGTATCCAACTCTTGATTTCAGCTCAGGTCATGATATCAGGGTTTGTGAGATCAAGCCCCGTGTCAGGCTCTGTGCTGACAGCGTAGTGCATGCTTGGGATTCTCTCTCTCCCTCTCCCTCTGCCCCTCCCACCCTCAAAATAAATAAATAAACTTTTTTTTTTTTGAAATTAAATCATTTTTATTGCTAAAAATTAATTGACAAGTGTTAAAAAGAAAAATTCACAATTACTATTAAAGAACTGAAGGCTTAGTATATATAATTTAGGAATTGCTACTACTCACATAACTGTTTAGCTTTATGTGAAGGTTAACAGAAAGGGGTTCTTGCACTGAAGCTAAAGATTAACAAATGTATTATTTTAAACTAGAATTTTTAAACCACTCTAAACAATTACATTCTTCTTAGCTAATGTTATAATTGTATCATATCATTTAGGTTCAAGTTCTTCCTTCAAAGAGTCATCAGAATAACATGGATTGAAGAGACTTTCGAACACTTGCCATCTCTTGCTGCTGCTTTATGAACTGCTCATATAACTGTCTAATTGTTTTCAGTCTCTGGTTCTGAACAATTCTAGATTGTTGAAAAGCCTTTTGTTGCTGTCGAAACAGGTTAGCTAGTTTTTCTTCTTGTTCCTCAGCTTTCTGCACATCTATATCCCACTGATGAAACAAAGCCAGAAATTGCTGAGAATACTCTTGATTAAGCTTCTGCCTTTGTTCTTGTTGGGTTTTCCAAACATGTTCAATTTTCTGGTTACTAGTCTTGAGAGAAGCCTTGGTATACATTTCTAGTCTTTTTCTCTTGGCAAGGAGAGCCTTGTTAATGTCAGCTCCAAATCTTTCCAGCATATTTTGTACTTCACCCCCCATATCTTCAAATATTCCTGCAGAAGTCCTTTTCTTCCCGTGCTTATCAATTACTGGAATCTTCCCTTCAGTGACATCCTCCTCTGAACCACTCAGATCCTTTTTATCTTCTTTTTCAAAGTCATAGGCTCTTACGACCTGATCCTCCACTGATGTCTTCCCAGATTTCCCTGTATGCTTTCTTCCAGATGGCACCATATTTAGTTGTTTTCTGACTTTTAAAAAATAAGTCTCTCAAACCTGAGGTATCCGCTTGGCTGTCGCGACGTTCTTCTCAATAAATAAACTTTTTAAAAAATCTGTTAAAAAAATGAAGACTTCTCATAAATTTCACCCTGAGAGTTCTCTGTACCTGTTTTCTACCTTCTTTGGAAAACATGTATTCACTTTACTTTTTATTTTTCATTGACTCTGGTTCCCTTCAGTCTTATGGTTTTATCTTTTGTTTCTCCACAAACTTAAGAATTTGCAGCATCCCAATATAATATCTAGAATTCTGCTGATAACACTTGGAGAAATATAACATTATAAATTAATTTTGATATTTTAGGTGATTACTTGGTAATTCAGTGATAATATATAACAATATCTATTGTGGGTACTAAAATTTTACAGCAATACACAAGCATAAAGTAGTCATGCACGTGATTCAGAAGATGCTTATATTAATTTTCTAAATATTTTTATCAAAAGCAAAACACATAATAAAAGAGGCTTCCAGAGAATCCCTAGACCTCTAACAGATCCCCTGATGCCATTTTGAGAACCATTGCACTATGGAGAACTCACTTCTTGTGTGCATTGCCAGTGAATTACCCGGAGAATATATCAAGTGTCATAAAATGAATACTGTGGACATTTGACCACAGAGGGAACCTGCACCACCCTCACAGTCATACCTCATCAAAGAAGAAAGAGTTTGACCAGGGGATAGTACTAAGACTAGAATGTTGAGAAGGTGGAGAGCAGAAGGAAAGAATGAGAGAAGGGAAGCCATAGCAGCAAAGCAGAGAGCTGAACTGGCTGTGGATATGTTCCCCTTCATGGATTTGTAGGGGACATAATGCACCGTAGGATCTTAACGTCTGCCATAAGCAACCTGCCATGGCATTTCTGCAATTAGAAATTTCAGTGTTCCATGTAAGAGTCTATTTCTTGCTTGGTAAGGAACATGGTCTCCAGAAATTCTGTGAAAAAATATCCGTGAATTATAGGACAAAAACAAAAGAAAAAACAACAAACCAACAGACCAGGTATTCTGTTTAATTTTCTACAGTAATTTTTTTTTATTGTATATTGACTTCTTTTTAGCCACCTGCCATCTTCAGAGGTCTGTGAAACTGAGGCTGTGACACATAAGAGCAACAACAACAAATGTAAGAACAGAGACCATCTGTTAAAAGCGTAAGTGCCAGGGGAGGGGGAGATGTTCTATTCATTTTACCTTTATGAAATCATTTAGCCCATAAAATTACCTTATGGTAATTTAGGTGCTATTGTAAGTATCATTTTAGAGATGGGGAAACTGCCAAACATCGTATCTGTTGATTTTGCCATTATGTTCATCCAGTCTTCTTTTCAAGAAAACCTCTGGCCGTGAACAGAACTAAAGATAAGGACAAGGTGACTCAGAAGGAATACATCTGTACAGTTAGAAGCCCATTTTCAACATATACCCAATGGAATAGGAGTATCCTTTTAATTTAACCAAAATAAATATTCATTCAATGTAAATGTGTTAAGTTTAAACTTACAGGCATGGGGCTGGGAGCTGAGAATAGACAGCTCAATGTAATACAAATAAAAATTGAGAAATATATGTGGAAACACCTTATATATGGAAAGCAATCTGTCTTCAAGGAGCAATATGTTATGCATAAAACTCTCAGGACCATGCCATTCTCCAAGCTTCTAGTCTATTCTTTCTAGCCTCATCAAAGAATTTACCAAGCAAAACATTTTTTACTTCAAAATAGGTTCCTCTATTCTTGCGTCTGAAGATCAAAACTATTTATTGCCTGCCCTTTGATAGAATTGACCAGAGAAGACTGCGCTTTATTTAGATAGGGCTTTCGTTTGTATTCTCAAAAATTATTGTTGAAACTGGTACAAGTCATTCTGGAAAACAGTATGGAGGTTCCTCAGAAAATTAAAAACAGAACTATCCTATGACCCAGCAATTGCACTACTAGGTATTTATCCAAAGGATACAAAAATGCTGTTTTGAAGGGGCACATGCACCCCAATGTTTACTGCAGCACTATCAACAATAGCCAAATTATGGAAAGAGCCCAAATGTCCACTGATGGATGAATGGATAAAAAAGATGTGGTATATATATACACAATGGAGTATTACTCGGCAGTCAAAAAGAACAAAATCTTGCATTTGCAACTATGTGAATGGAAGTAGAATGTATTATGCTAGGCAAAATAAGTCAGTCAGAAAAGATAAATGTCATATGATTTCACTCATGTGTGGAATTTAAGAAACACAACAGATGGACATAAGGGAAGGGAAGGAAAAATAAGACAAAAACAGAGAGGCAAACCACAAGAGAGTCTTAAATACAGAGAACAAATTAAGGGTTGCTGAAAGGGTATGGGGGATGGGCTAAATGGGTGATGGGAATTAGGGAGGGCACTGAGTGTTCTATGTAAGTGATGAATCACTAAATTCTATTCCTGAGACCATTAGTACCCTATATGTTAGCTAACTTGGATTTAAATTAAAGAAACAAAAAACAAAAACCACTTTGTTGAGCATCTACTCTCTGCCGGGCACTGATAGGTGCTATTTAGATAGCAGTGGACAAGATAGAAATGGTTCTGAGTCTCATGGACATTACTGCCTAATGTGTGCTTTTGTGGGCAGCAGCTAAGTGAAAAAACATGTGCTACAAATCAACAGTTATTTATTCAAATTGCTAGCAGTAATGTGGCGTACCTCCAGTGATTTATCGTGCAGGAATCCCCCTTGCTGTGCATGTTCCTGCAAAGTCTCATTAAGACCTTTAAACTAAAAATATCTGATCCAGCTAAATTTTGGGAAAGGAAACTATTATTTGAGGAATTCATTTTCAGCAGCTGAGTGCCTCAGGAAGTTAGTAATGCCCTGTGGAGCTTTATGCCTCTGGCCCTCTCATTTGAAACCAGCAGAGGTTGGAACAGTTCTTAGTTATTAACATCTAATGGCTGTTTTGTGACTTCTCAAGTGCGTTGGACTCCTCCTTCCAAGTCCCAGGGAATGGAAAGATACTTATTTGAATTTAATTAACTCAGAGGAGATTCAGCCTAAAGGATATCGATTGAATATACTTAGTACTGACTGTTCCTACATTTTCCCTACACCTTTATGACGGATTTGTTGGACTACTAATTTCCAGGAGTATGTGGAATAGAAACCCCACCTAGAAGTAAAGCCCAGGGTAGGAAGTGACTGTCACCACTGCTCTCCCTCGGTGCCTACATTATGTTCTCACCTCTGGCTGTATCCGTCTTACTGCATAACACCCCTTGCAGAAAGCCTCCTTGTGGTCCAGGGAAAAGCTCCGTAAAACACAGGTGAATGGCAACAAATGAGACTTCCAATCTTTTTTTTTTTTTTTCCCCCGTTGGGGCAAACTCTCAGTCTATCTTTCTATCCTAAATGTGTGCACACAAATGTTACTTTGTTAATCTAAAAAAACAAAACAAAACAAAAAAACCCTTCCATTTTGATAAGAGTCTCTGAAAACTTCCTTTCTGTCATCTAAATTCATACTGAGACTGAAGAGATGCTACGGGTAGACCCAATGTGATTTTGCAGATGCTGTGAAAACCTGTAAAAGTAATTCATTTTCATATTCATTCGTTCTCAAATCTTCTCAACTATTTATTGCCAGCCTGCTGCACATCAGGTATTGTGTTAGGTATTATAGGCCGAACCAAGAGCAAGAAAGATACAATTACTGCTCTTGGGTTTACAGACTCAGATGTATATTTATTTACTCAGCTACTTAACTAGCATGTGTTGTTTAAGGGATCATGGAAAATTCCAAAAATGAAGAGGAAAGCACCCTAAGGAATAAGAGCAGATTCCCCGGACTAGGAGAATAGCCGTAGGATCAGAAAAGGGGAGATGAGTCCTCGGAGGCAGTTGGAGATAGAATCCACATGGGATGAATTCTGAGGGATGGAGGAAGCGTAGGTGTTGATGTGGGGGAGGAATTGAAATTTTTTCACAGCCTCTACCGAAGGTGACTGGGAGGATTGCTGGTGCCATTAAACCAAGTTGGAAGATGGAGGATGAGAAGCGGGTGGAAGGCAGGTTTTGGGGGAGAAAAGGGTGATAGTGGGAGAAGGAGGAGAGCATTGAGATTGGCTGAATTTGAGAGGATGCGCCCACCGTGTCCTTTTATGATAGGAAAAGATAGGCCTGTTTTAAAAAGCAGAGAGGGAAAGGTTAGCACCCGAGGTCCCCGGGGTGGGGAAAAACAACATATTTTGGAACAATGCAAACTCCCTCTGGGGTAAGGTTCCTTTTTAGAATGTAACAGACACCGCCTACTCTCACTCAGGAATTTGACATAAGCAGTAGACCATAAAACGTATGACCCATAGGGAGTGATATGGCCATAGACCACCCCTCATACAATAGAAATGAGCCAATCAAGAATGGGCGACTCAGCACCTAGAGCTATCAAGCTCATAAGGGTAGAACCCAAGAAGAAACGAGGGGGAAGGGAAGGGAGGGCTGACCAGAACCGTGTAAAACAAAGACCTTTGCCTGTAGTCACGGGCATTCACTTTCAAGTGTCTCCTGTCTGCAAAAAGAGCTTGCATATTATTCTTACTTTCTAATCTCATACTGTAATAAACTTCTGCTTGCTGCTCATTTTATTCTGTGTCCACCTCTTCATTCTTCAAAGCTGCAAGACAACGAATCCCAGGTATTGAGGTAAAAAATCCTGCAACACTTCTACATTCCAGCAAGAGACTATGAGCTACTCTCATCTCAGGAAAGAATGGAACTGCTTCACCAGATGCATGTGTTAGGTATTATTTGTTTTTAATTCTAGATCTCGCTCCCAAGGGGTTTTTGGTAGCTTAGAAAGATCCACAGAATAAAGCAGGAAAAAATGGAAATGAGGACATCAGGGCTGTGATGGATATTTCTATGAAATTAATCCCCCTCACAAAATAAAAATCGTTAGTTTTTGCTGTTTATATACCT